TAGCAACCCTTTTGTTCCAAAGGGATAAAATTCCTGCCGATTTTCCAATGGCTGGCAAATGAAAAAACAACCAATCATCACCTATAAATTTATTTATATCTTCTATGCAAATAGTTTCAATCTTTGTTTCTTGTAAACTAAAAAAAGAAAACATTATGTTGATTAATATAATTCTTTTAATGGAAGCCCACATGCTTCTTATAGGCTCCTCTACAATTCCAAAATATCATAGAAAGATTATTTAATAATAGGTGATCCATCCCGAATAGTGGACCATTTTCTAGAAATAATAGGTCCTAATTGCCTCATCTTTTTACTACATTTAATTTTATTATTTGAAGAATTCTATTTCAAATAATAGGAAGAATTAAAATTAAAAACCTAATCAATATTTGAATCAGATTTCTGAAAAGGAGAATCATACTTCCACATATCGCTTCAAATTTGATAATCTGACAGTTATCAACTTCAGCGGCCACAACTAAATTGATTGTTGTTTCTTCATCTTCTACATTAACACTTTGATCATTTTCAGTAGTAAAAATAAGTTTAACAGATGGGAATCATTAACAGCATCAGCTTCAATATCATTAGAAACATCCAAATGGGAATCATTAACAGTATCAGCATCAGCTTACACACCATTAGCTTTATCAGTAGTCACTATAGGAACTTCAATACTAATGGGATCGGGTTTAACCACTAAACAAGTTACTTTTGAAATACTAGTCAAATTATTCATATCTTCTGAAAGATTAGGAGCAACTAAATCAATATTTTTTTGCTAAATGAAGATTAACTTCTGCCAGATTTTAACCTGCTCTTGATTTGTCCTCTTGAAGAACTGAAAAATCTGGATCCCCTAGTATTGATTTTTTTATCATTCTTTGCCAAGGCATTTGATTTAAATTGCTTTGGTTTATTGAATTTATTCTTTACAATAATCCAGCTACCATAAGAGTATTCATATTCCTTAACTGGTACATTAGAGTTAATCAATAAATCTTTAGAAGAAAGAACTTGGCTTGGAAGATCGACAGACGTATGAGGAGGAATCGTAGATGTCTCTTTATTAGTATTATCTCCCTTTGATACCTTGTTAATCATTTTGCAAGATGTATACTTGTGGCCTAACTTGCCACAATTAAAGTAAATGTTGGAGATTCTCTCATATTCAACATGTTGAAAAAATTTTCCATTTGAACCTTCAATCCAAATGCCCGTATGGAGTTTCTCTTCAAGATTGAGTCTAACACATACTCTATAAAACTCTCTTGTATTCCAACTGAAAGTTTAAGAATCTAGAAGAAAAGGATGCCAAAATTTTAAGGCAATTCTTGCAATGTTGATTGGATCCATCAATGGAGTGGAAGATGAAGAAATCTAATCCAAAATTGTGAATAAATACCTCTCATAGAAAAAGAAGAAAAGGAAGGTGTCCACCAAGAACCACCATTTAACACTCTATCTATGGCCTCCTTGAATTGAAAGTTACAAAGGGCCCAATCTATTCCTATTCCAGTCATTTGAAATGATCCAAATTTAGACCAAAGTCTTTGGAACTCTTTGTTCAAGATTGATAAAGGAAGTTTTTTACCGAGAAACTTGATAACAATCACATTTTCCAAGTGCAGCATATTTTTTTCCTTAGATTGCATGTGCAAGGTAATGGTAGTTCCATCTTTAGAGAAAGATGAAAGATCTTCATTGAAGTTTAAAGAAATATGCACATGAATCCTCCAAGCTTTATTGAAGTTTGTATGAGATTTAAATATATCTTTTGGCTTTTCACAGAGATCATTTTCCACATTCTTCACTGATTGATTTTGTGGATCATCTAGGGAGGCATCAATAATAGGATCAGCAATATTTAACTCATTATTCTTCTCATACTGATTAGCATCAATATTAGAATTATTGCAAGCAGAAGTTTCAAAATCAGGGATAATGCTGGATGACAATTCATTTAGATTAATAGGTTTAGAAGAAGATGCTTCAGAATCTCTTATGAAAGTCAATCCTTTCTTCCAACAATATTTAGAGTCTTGAACATGAGTAACTTTCTCTTTTCCTTTCGATAAGCTAGGAAATTTTGAAGAATTCAAAATGAATTTGGAATTTTTTGAAGTGACAGAATTGACGCCTTCATTAATTCAAATGCCATTGTAACAAAACTTTGATATCTGATTATCATATCTATATCCATTTGAAGAATCAACATTTATCTTTGATGAATCATCACTGGCAGAAGGTGACTGGCTGCCGGTCTCCACCATCAAATGGATGAAATATGCAGTTTAAAAAAATTCAAATCTTATAGTTTCTCTCTATAAAATCCCGCAGCTCTAAATTCTCGCAACTTCTCTCTCAACCTTAAAAGATTATAAGTAGGGGATAATAATCAGGCTATTATAGTTGGGTGTTAGGTGATGGTAATTTGGTGGTGATTTGTAGTGCCAATTGTGAGGTAGAGCTCTCTATAATTCAAAGTTAAATTCTAGCTTTAAGCTTCCATTTTAGATTTCTTTCATGTGAAGAATGGAGATTTATTTATAATTTTTTAAAGTAACATTTTGAAAATTTTTGCACCAGTCTCAAACACTCCCTTGAACAGTTAAAATTCTTTGAGCATTAAAGTGTTACATGACATCATAATTGGGTAATCTTAGCCTAGTTGAATTTATCTAGTTGAGATATTTATTTTAGATATGCACATGTAGGATTCATAGATCATTTAGTCCCTCATTGTATTATGAAGTTTCCATCTTTGCTTTATGGTTTGATTTTTTTTTTTTTTGTAATATAATGTATAATAGATATAAAAAAAGGAGAAAATACAACATTAAAAATTATTAGACTTAATGTTGAAGTTCAAAAAAGGAGTTCTTTTATTAAAACATATATGATTTCCCTGAAAAGGGTCATCCAAGTTACTTTTATTTATAAACAACTAGATATATGATAAGTAAAAAATGTATCATTTAAATTATGATTATTTCTTAAAAATGCTATTTAAATCTATCTTTTTGTGCAGGAAGGAAGTAAAATACTCATAATTAAAGGAATGTTGTGGTTCCATAGACTAAGCACTGAAGTGCTATATTCTTCCTCATCATGGAAGTGCTAGAAGGCAGTTTTGTAGTGTTAAAAAGTCAGAGAACAATTTGCTAAAGCACCAAGGAAGAAACGTCATATCGCTAGACCATGCACCGCAAAGTCAAATCAATATAGTGCCATAGAAGGTTATAGTTACTGATAGTTAAAACATCGAACCAATATGATGACAAAAAAAATAAACAATTGATCTAGTAGTGCCACAATGCTACCTAGGTCAGTACCACAATTTTAGTATAATTATTTATTAAAGTTATAAATAGGTAGGTTATTTCTTATGTAGGAGCTGATAATTGGAGGAGAGTTGATGTGAGTGATTGGGGGCTTCTATGGTTTATTATTATTTTGAATCTAACAAGGGGAATAGAGGGAGAGCAAATCAAGGAAGTTAGTTCCAATGGAAGGAGAGTTTGTAAGCTTTTTGTAAATAACTTTCTAGCACTATCTTTTCTTTTTTAACCCCTTATACTTCTAATTTGTTTGAAATGAATGGGGTTTAATTTATTTTAATTGCTATGGTTGGCTAATTTATATATCTGATCTTATGATATGTTAAAAATCATGTTCTCTAAAGCTTATATTGAATTACATGTTTCTTTAAAATATATATATTTTTAAGTCTTCATACTTAGTATATTTTATATGTAGGTCTTATATAAACTTAAAACATAGTGTGAAATATAACATTAAAGAAGAAATAGTAGAACAATTAGGTGATTTAAAGTGAGAATCTACCATGCATACACTTATGGTGGATATGGTCCTAGAATCTTAAAGAGATATAATAATTGTTGTTAAGAGAAATCTTAGCAACACACTCCAACGAGCTTGAAAAAGATGAGGAGTTTTTATGCTCTAGCTCACAATAATATTAAGAGAAATTTAAATTTTGTAATAATGACTTTTTAACTATTATATGTTAGAATACACAAATATATAGAAATTTTATTTTAAAAATGTAGCTGATAGCTTTCATTAGTGCACCCTTAAATTTTTGTATCGATAAGATAAATATGGTGAATCACATAATTAGTACTTGTGTGAATTTAGGATAATTCCTATCCTTGTGGGAATAATACTCTACACATTACTTTATTACTTGACATGATATGTGTACTTGTGTAGAATTGGAGTACACATAAAGTAGCTTAATCTTAACTGTGTAGTGGCTGGTCAAGTTTTTGGCAATGTTGCTAGGGTTATTGGATAATTATCTTTATACTAACTTTATATTATTCAAAGAATTGTTGGTTTAATCTTATAATTATCTTTATCTATCATGCTATGTATAGGTATTGTTATTTTTTATTATATTTAGTATATTATTGCATTGTAAATTGTTCAATTATACTTGGATTTGTATGATTATTTAGTGTGTTTTATTATTTTATGCATAATAGAGATAAATTAAGAGAAGTCTTGTTTGATACTAAGATAGAGAAAACCTTGAATAAATTAAAAATTAAAAAAAAAATACACAAAGATTTAGAAATAGCTAACCTAGTGCAAGAAAAAAACCAATATAGACTTCTTAGAGAGTAGGCCAACCTAATGATTGAAGGCATTCATCAAAACATTAATAAGACCAATATCCAAGCTAATAATTTTAAGCTAAAAATGTACATCATTCAAATGGTACAAATCCTCAATTTTGGAGAACCACTATAGAGCATCCCAATTGCATATAACTAATTTCTTTGAGATTGGAGCAACATTCATGTATAATGGGGTTTTTGATGATGCTATTAGACTTATAAGATTTTTCATTCTTATTAAGGGATACAACTAAGATGTGGTTGAACTTTTTAGCTCCAAGTTTGATTACCATATTGAATGATTTAGCTCATAAGTTCCTAGCCAAATACTTCTCTCCATCCAAAACTATAAAACTTAGGAATATCATCACTTTATTCACTTAATTAGATGGAGAATCAATATATGAAGCTTGGGAGAGATTTAAGAAATTCTTAAGAAATGTCCACATCATGTCTTGTCTGATTGGCTTATTATCCAAACCTTCTATAATAGACTCATAGGATCTCTCAATTCAATTATTAAAGCTGCTATTGTAGATTCTTTGATGAACAAACCGTTCGATGAAGCATAGACTTTGATTAAAGAAATGAACACTAATAATTTCCAATGTCCTTTGAAGAGATTGAACCCTAAAAAAGTTGCTAGCATATATGAATCTAATTCTTTATCAAATAATAATAATAATAATAATAATAATAATTTAACTATTTTAACTAGTCAAGTAGTTGCAATATCAAGGAAATTACATAATATTTGTATTAGTAAATCCCAAAGAACACCCATGTCATTAGAGGAGAGTGTTTATAAACATCTACTGACTAAAATGCCTTGAGGATATAATCTTTAAATGTCATTAATAATAGAAAAAACAACTTTATTCCAACACTTATAATCTAAGTTAGAATAGTCATTCCAACTTTCAATATAATAATAATCCTAATAGGGGAATCATTGGAATCTTAACCAAACCATCCTTACAGGAAATTTTAGCCCACTTTAATAGAATTATAGAAACCTAAAGCCTAATTAACCTCCTGAATTTAAAATAAAAAATAAAATTAAAAATAAGAAAACTTTTGTATAAGACCTAGTTTTACGAATGATAACCCAATTACAAAGTAATGCTAATGGAATAAGGAGAATGGAAAATCAATTATGGCAATTTGATAGTTCTTTCCTAGCAATTGTGAGGTAAACCCCAAGGAAAAAGGTAAGGAGCATTACAAAGCTATTCGAGGTTTCTGTGAGAGTTAGAAGAAATGATTAGTAATAAGGATCAATCTGAGGAGGAGACACCTGTAGAACCCACCAAGCTTGAAGAACAATCTCAACTTGATATAGTAGTAAGGAAACCCATTATAAAGATTATTGAGAATTGCCACCATCATTTCCCTAAAGGTTGTTGAAGTAGAATTTAGATACACAATTCTCTTGATTTTTGAAAGTGTTTAAAAAGTTGATTAGTAATATTCCATTTATTAAAGCCCTAAAGTAGATGTATACCTATGCTAAGTACATGAAAGACATCTTGAGCACGAAGGGAAAGATAAGAGACTTTGAAACTATTGCCTTGATTGAGAAATGTAGTGTGATTGTATAAAAGAAACTCCAATAAAATCTTAAGGATCTTCATAATTTTACTATTCTTATTTCTTCAAAGGATAAACTTTATAGGAAAGCATTATGTGACTTAAGAGTTAGCATAAATTTCATTCACTTGTCCATATTTAAGAGACTTAACCTAGGAAAAGTCCAACTCACCATTGTTACCCTTTAATTAGTAGAATGTTCATTCACTTATCTAAGGGGGCTGTTAGATAATATGTTAGTCAAGGTAAACAATTTATTTTCTTAGTTGACTTCATTATCTTAGACATAGAAGAAAATAGAAAGATACATATTATCTTAGATAGACCTTTCTTATCCAATTGTAGGGCTATGATTGAGGTGTAGAAGGGAGAGTTAACTATGAGGGTTTAGGACTAGAAAGTGACCTTTAATATTCTAAAGTATATGAAGATTCCTAAGGATCATAATGAGGAATTTCATAGATTAGATTTAGTTGATGTTTGTAATAGCCTAAACTCTTAACAATCAAGATATTATCTATTTTGGCCTAAGAGATTCATGATTTTATCTTGTTGGTGTAACTTCCCAAGAGGTCATCCATATCAAGATTTCTTTGGGATGAACATGCTTAACTGTGGTGTTTCTTAATAAAATTTCAACAATTACACCAAAAGGCATATCAATATTTAAGAGTTTAGTCTCCTTTTACTTCATAAGGTTCAAGAGCTGGCTACCATAATGTAGCACTTTGTCTTGTATGGTACTTAATTCTCATCTTTTGGGTGGCATATTGCTCTATTACCATTTGTAAAAGTCCAAACTCTTAACTATTGAGATATTGTATGCTTTAGCCTAAGGGCGTCACAATTTTTTCCTTTTGGTATAACTTCCCAGGAGGTCACCCATCTTAAGATTTCTTTGGGATGATCACGCTTTGTTACAGAGTTTTTAAATAAAATTTCAACCATTACACAAAAATATGCCTCGATTTTTAAGAGTTTAGCTTCTTTTTACTTAAGTGATTTTGCAATGAGATGTAGAGTATCTTATGGAAGAAGTGTTAATTGATTATTCTTCAAAGAGTTTATTATGCAAGGATGATATAGGGGAAGTAGAAGAAGATTCTATTCATATGGTTAGTGAAGCCTCTAAATTATTTAGGAAGAGATATAAAGTTCTAGATTCATCATCTCTAGGGAAACCATAAAACCATTATTATAGTTGTACCTATTTTAGAGTTAAAATCATTACTTGCCCACTTAAAGTATGACTTTTTAGGAGAAGAGTTAATCTTACCTATCATTATTTTTATTAAGTTAAGATAATATTAAGTTAAGTTGATCAGGATCTCAACATATATAAGAAAGCTTTTGGTTGGACCATTATTAATATTAAGGGAATCAATTAATCCTTATGCATATAAGATTATAATGGTAGAGAACACTCCTCTAAAAGTTAACCCAAAAAAAAGAGTTTACCCTATAATGAAGGAAGTTGCGAAGAAGGATATTTTAAAATGGTTGAATGCATGTATCATTTATCCTGTTTTAGATAGTGCTTGGGTGAGTCCAATTCATTGTGTCACGAAGAAAGGATGCCTAACTATTATGGTTAATGAGATAAATAAGTTGATACCCACTAGGATTTTTACTGGTTGGAGGATATGCATAAATAATAAGAATCTAAATAAAGTTATTATGATGGATCATTTTTCTTTGTCTTTTATTGATTATATTTTAGATAGGTTAGCAGGGCACCCCTTTTACTAATTTTTAGATGGATATTATGGTTACCACCAGATTCTTATAGCACTTGAAGACCAAAAAAGAACTACATTCACTAGTCATTACGGTACATTTGCATTTAGGAGGATGTATTTTATATTGTTTAATATCCCTCTAAAATTTCAACAATGTGTGATGTTTATCATCTTGATTTAAAAGAGAAGGGCATTAAAATCTTTATGGATGACTTTTCTATCTTTGGAACAACATTTGAAGTGTGTTTAAAATAATTTGAATTTATTTTGAAAAGATGCAAGAAAACTAAAATTGTGCTTAATTTGGAAAAATGCTAGTTTAGGGTTAAGGAAGGCATTATCCTTGAACTTAAAATCTTTGAAAGGGGCATGGAGGTTGATATGGAAAAGATCCAAGTGATTAAGAATTTTCCACCTTCTATTCTTGTAAAGGAGTCTGTAGTTAAATTTTATTAAAGATTTTTAAATGATTTTTTTTTTAAATTATAAAGCTCTTGTGCCATTTACTTGAAAAGGATATTCTATTTGAATTCAATTCATATTATTTAAATGCATTTAAAAAACTTAAGAGGTGCTTAGTTATTGTACCTATCATCATCTCACCTCAATGGTATTTAAATTTTGAATTGATGTGTGATGCTCGTGACTATTTAATTGGAGAAGTTCGAGGACAAAGGCTAGATAAAAAATTTTATGCTATAAATTATGCTAATAAAATATTGAATGAAACATAAATTAATTATACATCTACTGAGAAATAGTTGCTTGTGATAGTTTTTTGCATTTGATAAATTTAAATCATGCTTACTTGGCACCAAAGTTATTATTCTCTCTGATCACTCAACTTTTAAACACCTTTTAACCAAAAAAAGATGCTAAACATTGATTGATTAGATGAATTTTATTACTCTAGGAGTTTGATGTATAGATATTAAATAACAAAGGTTCTAAGAATCAAATGGCTGATCATTTGTCAAGATTAGATAAGGGGGAATTTGTGCATAATGATGTTATCATTAATATTTTTTTCCCCTGATGAAAAGTTGTTCACATTATATTCATTGTGTGTGCCTTGGTATGCTAACATTGTTAACTACATTATGAGTGGAGTGATCCCATTTTATTTGACATATACTTAAAGAAACAAATTTATCTTTTGCCAAATTCTATTTTTCGAATGAGTCATATTTATTTTGGATATGCAAATATCAAATTACTAGAAGATGTATCTTAGAAGAGGAGTTTGAAATCATTAAATAATGTTGTGATTTAGAGGATGTAGAACTACTTCTAAGATCCTTCAATCAAGATTTTACAAGTTTAGTATATTTATGAATGTGAATGAATACATAAAAAATATGATAAGTATTAGAGGGTAGGTAATATGTCAAAAAGACATGAAATTCTCCGAAATTACATGTTAGAATTTAAGATATTTGATGATTGGTGACTTGACTTCATGGGTCCTCATATTTATTCTTTGGGGAATCAATATATATTAATAGCAGTTGACTATATATTCAAGTAGATTGAGAGGGTTAAACACCCAAAATTGATGCTCAAATAGTGACTAATTAAAAAAAATCAAGATTTTGAGTACCTCGAGTCATTATTGATGAGGGAAGTTATTTTTGTAATAAAAGAGCGGATAATCTAATTCCAAAACAGGAAATAAAAATGTCCAACCTAGACTGCTTAAGGAATAATCTAACCATATGGTTGAAGTATTCATCAAAGTATAAACAGACCTATTATTCAAGCCAATAATTTTTAATTCAAAACCTTATATAATTCAAATGGTGCAAAACTATTAATTAGGGGGACACATTTAGAAGATCCTAATTTATACATAGCTAGTTTCCTGACCATTTATGCAACCTTTAAATATAATAGTATTAGTGATGATGCTATTAGACTTAAGTTGTTTCTATTTTCTCTTAGAGATAAAGCTAAAATATTGTTAAATTACTTTCTTCCAAGCTCAATCACCACTTGGAATGATCTTGTAAATAAATAATTAGCCAAATACTTCTCGACATCTAAAATTGTCAAACTTAGAAATAACACCACTTAAATTACCCACCAATTTAGTTGGGGAATTTATCTTAGAATCGTGAGAAATATTTAA